AACTTAAGGTATTTAGATTGTAGTTCAGTAAACTATGCAAAAAGCCAAAGTTGAAGTATTCAAAATGGACCTCCTTGATTGGCATTCAAAGGTTTCTCACAAAAAATAGAACAGGCTCTATATACGTGACCTAGAACGTATGGAGCTAAGACTACCTTTTTTTGTAAAACAAGGGCTTTGGCAAGAGGGGCGAATTCAGGCATGATCCTCTGAGAAGAGGTGCAGAAAAGAAATTTGCAAAGCCAATATAATATGAAAGAAAAGAATTTCCTATCAGTCACAATGCCCTCCCTTTTATTCTCAGCCTTGACAAAGCCACTATAGGATGAGTTAAGAGAGGGGAGGGAAAAAGGAGTTTGTAGGTCAGGATAATCTGGTCTAGCGGGGGACAATCCTAATAAATAGTAGATATCAAGAACAGTAGGGGCCATCATCCCACATCTGAATTGAAAGAAATTAAAAGCGGAATTCCAAAAGCAAAGGGCAGCAGGTATTAAGAAAGGGTTCTCTAAGATAGTAAACATGGATAATTGGAGGGCATTGAAAAGGCAAAGCTTTTGAAGGTCCAAAATCCTATCAGGGACAACCTGATCATACCACTCTTGGCACTCTGGTCTCACCGTGGGCCAGCAGCGATGGGGGCGGTTCATCCTCCAGCTTTCCCAGTCAAGACCATCTTCGTAAAGGAGACAATAGTCTTTTAGACGTGGATATAGAGTTGGAAGCTCAGTAGGAATCTCCTTGAAGATAGGCCCAAGCACATACTCTTGCTGTTCATGACGACGAGGAATGAAGATGCGTCCGTCAATGGCGTTTTTCTCACCGGCCTTGTACTTCTCACACTCTGCGTCAATAATCCTTTTCAAGGTCACAAACGGACTTGCACTCTCCACGACTGGTATTTTCAAAGAAGAAGAAGCCATTGATAAAGAGTTTTCTCAGAAGCCGAAGGCGGGAAAGAGAGTAGAGGAAAAGGAAGGTCAGCAGAGATTAAGGGTTTATGTGATAGGCAAATAGGTGAATTCAAAGCACGAAATAAAAGGGTTTTAAAACTTTTGTGTCTGAAAAAAAATATACCCAGTCGTGTTGCACGGACGGAATTCACAAAAAAGTACTAAAGTTACAGATGCGAAAAGTTTCTTTCTATATTGATAATTATGGAGGAAACACATCTCAAATACTAATGTTAGCTTCGAAATAAAATATTTGGCTTCGAAGCCAAATTTTGGCGCCAGAATGAAATGATAAACGGCTTCGAATGTAGGAAGCCGACTTTGAAGCACATTCCATGCCTCACTGTGAAAAAGTGCTTAGGTATTTTACTTCAAAAAAGATTAAGGACCTGTTTGTAGGTTTCTAGTTGAGAGTAAAATCCTTCGATGCAAAACTTGAAACATTTTTGGGTTAGAAATTGTTGTTCTAAGTGTCAAACCAATAGTTGGTTTGATAGTATACAGAAGAAATCACTTTTTTCAAATAAAACAGTGTAAAAGAGGATTCCTTATTTAGTTTGTTTGTTTGAAAATTAATTGATTCGAAATTATTTGGTTCTATCAACCATACGTTGGGAAATTGAATATGATCGAATAAAGTTTCGAAGGGTAAGGTTGGTTAATTCGAAGCCGTTGGGTGAGGAATTATGTTAGCCCTAGGGTCGGCATGAAAGGCAAAAATTGCTTTCTCAAAAGAAAAGACTTCACACTTTAGAAGAGTTTGAGTCAAAATGGAGTTAAAGCACATCAACCATATAGTTCATAATTTGAGTGCTAAATCAGAATTTAACAAATGAAATTCGGAAAGCTCAGTTTTATTAATAAATGCTGTTGATACTAGAGTTCATTTGATTACATTCTCGATTTCGTAGAAATACGGAATGGACAGAGTTACAAGGTCGTGAAATTTAGTCCAGCAAAATTCAATAAACGAAAATTCTTTTTCTACTCTATCTTTTATCTTGTCCAAGTTTGGCTTGTCTAATTGATAAGCCCTTAATTGAGAAGTGAGTTGTTGGGCTTTCACTTCGAATTCTATTTGCTTTAAAGCTTTATCTGTGGCGTCCATTTCTCCCTCTTCATGCACTTCATTCATAATAGCATCCTCCCCATACTCAGAATCCTGACTTTTAAGGGATTCATTCTCCGCCTCATACTGAACCTGGATTCGAGCAGAATTGGCTTCATCCAGAACTTCACTGGTAATGGAAGCATGGAAGTGCCAGTTAAGCAGAAGAGGAAGTTGGTCTAAAAATGTATAGAGTTCCATTTGGGCCACAGGGTTAAAGAGATGGCTTCGAGACATAATGTCACAAGCCCATAGAAAGTTTTAGTGAGGAATATCATTTCGAAGGGCCTCGAAGGGTAAATGAGAAAATGCAGTGAGCAATATCTGAGCCCTGGATTGCTGATAAGAAGTTGGAGACACTGGGACCCTGTAAGGGGGAAATGATCGGTCTTCAAAGAGAGTGAGCTTCAACTCATTAATCCAATTTGGGTTAGAAGGGAGAGGAGGAGCAGTCGGAGGTTCCCTAAGTGAGTCCAGAAATTCAGGCCTGGTCACACATTCTAGCCAATCAGAGGGGTAAAGTTTTGCCTTTTTGGCTAAAAGCACAGGGCTGATCCCTAGAGTTTCAATGGGATGTGGGACACTTCGAACCATCCGAGATGGCAAGGTAGAAGTATACCATGATGTAAGCAGATTGTCTTCAAGACTGCATCTACGATTAATAGAAACATATGGATATACTACTGAACTGCGTTTGAAAGGAGGAATGTCAAGAGGATCATCGAATTCAGGGAAACGATGATGAATGTGTTCCCTTGTCTGAGGTTGAGCAGTAGTGGACCAAGTTCCCCAGCCAGAAGCTGTAGAAGAAGAAGAAGCAGCAACAGCTTCGTCCCACACGGATAGTTTTGTTCCAGAAGAAGAGCTTCCGATATCTATGGTTGCAAATTTGTGTTCTAGAGAATCGTAAGTAGTAGGTTCTCGGTTCGAAGGTCGGTGATTTGCAAAAGCTTGTCTAACTTGTATAAATGGAGGTGGATAAAGGTGACTAATCAATGCATGAAGGTTCTTTCGAGGACGAATAGTGTCATCAAATAACTCTTCATATGCATGATCAATGTAAGAAAAGATTGGTTTGGCCATAAAAGATGTATCAGTTTTTTTGAATACTGAGATAGTGGGAGTGTTCAAGGGTTAGAAGAGAATTTCATGCAAATGATGAATGACAATTACATTTCTGAGAAATGCAAAAGCCCATGCACGTTCTAAGACGTGGATAAAATATCTTGCTCCACTAATATTACCAAGTATTGGGTATATTAGTGCGGGGGGTATATTAGTGCGAGGAGTAATGTTGGCTACATATTTTGTATAAGCCAATCACAGTTCGACATGTGACAAGATAAGGGCAATACGGGAAAACAATTCAAACCTTTGATCGTAATCGTACACGTGGCAATTAATATTGGTTTTTATAAGATCTGCGTAGCACTGGATCAGCAAAGAGATGCAAAATGATGTGGTTTCAACGGTTACTCGTATTTAAATTCAAAATTAGAAGAGAAGCCTAGCTGCAAATATTGGCAGAGTGGAGCTAACTATAAGGCAGCATGATCAACGATCATGGAAGGGCAGTTCGACGGCTAGAAGTGCAATTCAACAGTTTTCAGTGAGAAGTATAAATAGCATAGAAGGCCCCAAAAAGTGCCCCTAGACTCAGATCCAAAAAACTAATTTTATTCTACTTTATTTCCTTTCCAGTTTTACATTTCTTGTTTTTAATATTTCTGTACTTCAAATTCCTGTACTGTATTTCGTTCATAGGAGTAGTTTTCAAGTAGCTTGTTGCTGTAAACCTTTACGAGGCTGATTTGGATCTTTGTAAGTCTTTCATTTTACTTAATGAAATACTACAATTGTTCTTCATTTAATCATTGTTTCCTTCATTCTCCTAAACAAAACCACCAGTAAAAGTCCTCTTCGTCGAGACTGAAAGAACTAAAACGCAATCGTCTGATAATTGATTGACAATTAATATTCTGTAAGGACTGATTGATCCTTGTTCGCACGCTCATAATTACAAAAAATAACCTTCAAAAACCAAAAAACCAACACATATCATAGCTAAACACAATTTAACTATTCCATAAGAGAAATGCACTATTGGTAATAAAAATAAAAATAAAAAATTAAAATATTCATAAGCTTCTAACTAGGTTCCAACAATATCCTTCAATTCAAATCATTAACAGAAGGCAAGCCCAACCCTTCACGAATGTTAAATCTGAAGCCCAAACAAGCATTAACTTAACAAAAGCCATTCACCCAAAAAACTTAACAAAAGCCTCCTTGCTTCTCAAAACAAAACAAAACAAAATAAAACAAAACAAAACAAATTCCTCCATCAATAGAAACTCAAAGATCCACCCCTTGAAAATCTCGAGAAAAAAAAACAGAAAAAGTTATAACTTCCCATTTGCCTGTGACACTGTAGCTCTTTATTGATCTGTAATTCTTTTGCTCACAACATTTTAACTTCAAACCAAAAATAAAAGAAAGTTACAGCTTAAATATACAACCTTAATACATTACACTATAAGAACACCACATTGATCAGTCATTGCATCTGTAAACCGTGGAGCAATTCTCATCCCATAGCAACACAAAACACTGAAAACAAACCAAGTACCAATAGCATTTTTAGAAGCATATTAGTGGATATTAGAGTATTAAAGGGTCCCATAAAAACTAACTGCCACAGTTCCACTATGAGGCGGAGAGGTCTCAATGTCAAGAAAATACAAGGTCCTGATGCTTATTATCTGGCTCTAAGACTTGCAACACTGTTACCAAGCCATCATCAGGTTTACAGGCATCACATTACACCGCCGATTTCTGAATTTAACAGCCGAGTAAGGAAAACTAGAGGGTCACTCTCATAAGCATAGGTTGCAGTCCATTCCAAGGATAAAATGAGCAAATACTGAACACACAATCCATATATAGTGAAACCCAATAACTAAAAGGTTTAAAATGTATTTGAGCAATTCTCATTTATCATAGTTTAGCACTACAATTTTTCCGTCAGCAAATCCCCAACAGAGAAATCCATTACAACATCTTATCTCTGCCGAAGACCAACTAGTTCAACAAATAAATGAGAAACAGTAGAGTAGAAACCATAAAACCAGGGGTTTACTCATATCATTATGCTTTGCTATCTATGCTCACGGACTCTGCTTCCTTAGTAGCTCCTTTCTGTAAGTGAGAAATACATTATCAGAACAAACATTTAAAATGAAACCATTTTTTATTTTATTTTTTGACAAGTCAAATCATTTTAATGTCTATTTATCCATATTTACAGTAAGTGATACTAGACATGCTTACATTAGGCTCAACTGACTCCAACTTGTTCAATTTAGCAAACATGTTGCCATAAAACTTGGCTTCCTTTTTATTGTATTCCTTCAACTTCTCCTTCAACGCTTTATATTCCAATTTCACGTCCCTGGTCACAAAGAGAAACCAACAAATTCAATAAAAATAGTTCCCAGCCTTTGTAACAGCAAACCATAGAATTTCACATTAAATGAATAGCATAAGCAAGGCACACACCTATTGTTGGGGTCTATTTCAAGAGCTTTCTTGATATCAAGCTCGGCCAAATCCAAATCCGCCAAGTTGATGTAGGCCTGAGCCCTCCTGTAGAGTGCTTTCACATTCTTACTCTCAAGTTCTAACACCTGCATACAATATTCGAGTTCAATTCAGCATAGCCATGGCAGAATTACTCCAATACAAGGAAACGGAATAGTAAAACATAATGGTAATGAGAATAGAATAAAATTCGAATTATCAATATTTAATGTTTCTGTATCCCTCAGAACATTTTTTTTTTTTTTTTTTGGATAAATAATCAAACTTTATTATAGAAGCATCGAGGCGATGCAAAGAATACAAAAAAACCAGCCCACATGGGGCTCAACAACCTAACTACTCCAAGTATCCACAAAATCTACAAAAGCCAAAACATTAGGATCAACTAAACTTGTAACCCAACTATGCAAAATCAACAAAAGCCTACTCTCTAACCAAAGCACTAAATGGCACACGTCGTAGAAAACATGCCTATTACATTCCAACCAAACCAACCAAAGCAAGCAATGAGATGCAAGAGGCCAAGCCTTCCAATGCCTTTTCGCTACCCTAGCCCCACCCCAACTTTGAACCACACCCAACACAGAACCCAGTTGCACCCAAACCAAACCAAACAAAGCAACCACCAAACTCCATAAACGAGATGCAATAGAACAATGAATAAGTAAATGATCCACCATCCCCGAATCCCCACAACACATGCAACACCACTTAGCCAACACAAGCCGTTGACGGATTAAGTTGGTCAATAGTCAAAATACAGCCCAAGGCAGCTGTCCAAACGAAAAAAGCTACCTTAGATGATGAACCCGTCACCCAAATACTCTTCTAAGGAAAGACAACACCATCACCACCCACAAGCACACCATAGTACGAAGACGCCGAGAAAACCCATTCCGATATCGAACAATCCCACACCAATGAATCCATCCCATCCCCTTGCCCCCCTCCCCCTCCCCAAACTTCACCCCATATAAAAACCCTAAAAGATTCCCCAACTGATCCAATTCCCAATGCTAACATCACATCGTAAATGAACATTCCAGACAAACGATTGGCCTTGCCGATTCTGCACCGAAGCAACCACTTCCTTCCCATCAACAGCAATGGCATATATCAATGGAAACATCCTCGCCAAAAACCACTCACCACACCACTTGTCCTGCCAAAAGCAAACCCTATCCCCCACCCCCACTTTAAACCAAACCCTATCCCAAAACTCCTTTCGACCCAACTAAATGCCCTTCTACAAACCTCGACCATGAGATTGGCCCACTCTATCTGAACACCAACCCCCCTCCCTCTCCAACCCATACTAGGCGGCCACCACCTTCCTCCACAACTGTTCCCTTTCCTCCACAAAACACCACAACCACTTTCCAAGTAGAGCCCAATTAAACACAACCAACCATCTCACACCCAAACCTCCCCCCACCCCACCCCACCCCACACCACACCACACCACAAGGAACCCCTCAGAACATATTAAACTAATTGTACCTTCGTACACAGCTTCTCTGCTTGCTTGTATTCCTTTAACTTCAGCTGACAAGCTGCATTGTTAAGATTGCAAGTGACCTTTAATACTTTGGCCTGCTTCTTCTCCTCTTCACTATAGGAAGAATCATACTCAATGTACTTCGCAGCCTGCACACAAAGGGGAAGTTCAGTGTGGAACTGCATAATACAAAAGGTTTTAAATATCAGCCATTACATATTGGGATTTTGGACTTTCAGTACCATTATTCATCGTCATCAATATATCAACCATTATTGTCTGGTATATGACCGTATCACCGATACTAATACATATCACGATACCCATATTTAAAATCATACTGACAGATGACAACAATTTTCAGTTAGTTCAAATCATCCTGTTCCTCTCTATTCACCTTCTCATATCTCTTCGAGGCTCTAGCATATTTACCCGCCTTGAACAGTGTATTTCCTTCTTCCTTCTTCTCACCAGCAGCTTCAATTTTCTCCTGGGTGTTCATATCCCAAGATTCCTTCTCCTGAAGACCAAAAATAGTATTAAACACAAACATAATCCCCAAACACAATGTATTATAAAACACAAACCTGAAGCCAAACCCAATCAACTAACCTTGTCAAAGGAGACAAGCTCGACTTCATAGAAAACATATGAGTTTGGAGGAACCACGGCCAGTTCCTGATGTGACTCGGATGATCCAAAGGCATATTCCGGTGCAACAGTCAGCAATGCTATCTCTCCCTTCTTCATTGTCATCACTGCTATGTCGAGCCCCTCAATGACTTGCTCTATTCAAGACGTTAAAAACCTTCAATGTCAAAGAAACAAAAACAAAAAAGAACCACAAGATTAAAAATCAAGGCTCGGATAAGTAATAGTACCTTCATCTGTCTTGAACTCAAACAACTCTTCATCATTGTCATGACCCTTCTTAAGGAAGATGGTACCATCTTGCAACTTACCAATCAATTTCACTGGCAAATGCACAAAGAAAAATATTGCCAACCACTACAGTTAACCACATATCACAATACCAACATTGTCAAGCCCAAAAAATACATATATATAATAATAAAAAGGATGAGAATAACATTTCACAGCCGCTCCGTCATTCGGGCGATCATATCCCTCCCCTTCCTTCAAGATCTTCTTAATGACCTTATCATCTTTTACTTCAGTCACAGTCTTCCATGACACCAACTCAAGAGTTATCTGCAACATTGCATTTGGGGGGACACCACCCTCATCACCTGATGCTGGCTTGCCCTTCTCCCCAAACCCATCTGCAACCAAATAGAAAGAAGAGCTATAAGAACAAAGAAAATGCATGACTAAAAATTGCTTCAATAGTAAACAACACCAGGCAATGAGGAAATTATCAAGAAGGGAAGAACATACATTGTGGCTTCACTGTTAGAAGAACCTTCTCTCCTTTCTTCATTGTCTTTACAGCTTTAGCAAGAGCAGGGCAGAAATATCCTGTTTACAAACAATTATATATGATAAATTCAAATATACTATGTCAAAGCCTAATTACACAACAACAAAAAAATATTAACAAATTCTCATGAACTTTACCCTCTTTCACGGTGAACTCTACTCCATCTGACTTCACAATCGAGGTTCCATCCTCGAGCCGAGCTTCATACTTCACTGCAATAAAATGCAAAGGCACATAGTTGATTATTCAGTTCAAGTTATCATAACAAAACTTACAACAGAACCAGAAATGAATAAAAGCATTATAATAAATACCTAAAACTTCATCAGGATCCTTAGGATTCTCCCACTTCTCTCCCTTAGCAAGTATCTTCTTGAATATTCCACCATCCTTGCAGATGTCTTTGATGCTGACCCAGGATAGCAACTCTACATCAAATTTGAGAGTTGCATTTGGGGGAATGGTTGGGGGAGAACCAGATTCACCATAGGCAAGCTCTGGTGGAATAGTGAAAATGGCATTTTCTCCCTTCTTCATTGTCTTAATACCCTCGTCCCATCCCTTAATTACTTGTCCTGTCAGGCCAAGACAAAAAATACATTCCATTCTCATGCCCAGAGCAATATTTACACAATCAAACCCTTCACGCTAGTCATGACAGCACATCATACTTAAACCCTTTCAGAGTCCCTTGTCATTTAAAAGGATGACAGTAAGAAATATGAAATGAAACAAAATACAAAGATAAACAAAAAGCCCAAACAAGAAAATATAATATATATATATATATAACCAACAGGCTAAGGTAACATATATTAGTCCTGATTCTGAAGTAGTTAATACGGACTGGAGTGGGAAGACATACACAAATCCTCCACAATGTACATGTACCCTGCCCTTGCAACCCGTGTACAATTTCGTAAGTTCTCTCCAACGCAGTCACTAAAGGGATTACAGTTTCTGTGGGCCCAACATGATTATTCTGTTGTTATACCTTCACGACTAATCTCTCCTCCCTCCCCCTCTTCTCCTTTGACTAAACTGAGGATTATAGAAAATTCCTCTTGATTTCCCCCATCAAACAAAATGCTAGTGTTCTATTTTCCCATCACAACTTATAGAACTCTGCAGTGAATATTTTTATTGGTATTGAAGCTAGACAAACTGCCCACTTCACAGAGAACTTTTTATAAAAAGCCTTAGACGCTCATGGCCACATGAACGTATGATGGAATTGGGTGCTCATGGTCACGTATTACAACCTGCGTATGTCATTCATGTATTAGTAATAAGTTTTCCTTAACTATTCCATTTCCTAATAAATGCTGTTTGTTAAAAAACACGAAACATTAGTGAAAACTCCAAACTCTAAGATACCGCCAAAACATACCTAAACATACAGGAATTAACCCAAACACTACAAAAAAAATTTGAAATAGAGAATTATTTCATCATCATCTATTAAAAATATCTTAAGATTTCATTGCTTTTCCTTTTGTATGTTACATGGACTCTTCTATTTCTCCCACAATATCCATGTCCACCAGATATGACATGGGTAAGGGTGTGGGATATGTGTCTGACACTCGTACCTAATTTAGACACTCAGATCCTTTAATTTGTAACAATACATGAAGATGAAACACACATTTGTTAATAAAGTAATATTTTTAGCCTCTCACATGAATTAGATATTAAAATTTCATATTTTTCCTTAATCTTATTTAATTTCTAGTATATTTCTACATAATTTACAACATCTCATCCGAGAATATTATATAATATGCAATATATATGTGCATATGATGTGTCCTTGTACCCATATCCAATTTTGGATATGTATCCCAAGATCCTAAGATTTAAATTTATGAAGGTCTGATGCTTGGATACACACCCGCACCTGATTCTCGTACCCGAGTCCATGTAACATATGACTAATGGTCCAAAACATTTGCAAATCCACTTGTACATGCTGTACCTATATTGCGAGGGTGGCTCCATAAGGGAGAAAATATGTCAATTCTTAGATAAAATAATTGGAAAGGTCAAGTATTATGTTAATAAAATAAAACAATATAAAATAAATAAATCTTAAATTAGTTAGAACTTTTTGAAAGAAAAAATACGTCAAGGAGATGAAGTAGTGAAACCAAATGGAAAATATACAAGTTACCTATGAAGCACAGACACGGACACGCATACGGACACGGACACGGGACACGGCAATTTTAAAAAAATGGGGACACAGACACGGCTGGGGACACGGTAAAAATTTTTTTATATAAATATTTTTATTTTAATACAAGTTAATTATTTTATTTAATTATTATATTTTTAAATAAATATGATTCTATTAATTTTTTTATTTTATTTTATTTTATCTACTTTTTTTTTTGATTAATATATATATATATTTATTATATATTAAATAAATACATATATATATTATACCTAATAGATACATTAATATTAAACCTAATAAATACATATATATATTATATGAATCAAATCAGATCAGAGCAAAGAGACAGCGAGAGACGCGAGAGCAAGAGAGAGCAATCGACGCGATCGATGCGAGAGAGCAATCGACGCGATCGATGTGAGCGCAAGAGAGAGCAATCGACGCGATCGATGCGAGAGCGAGAGACGCGAGCGAGAGGGAACGCGAGAGAGAGGGGCGAGAGAGAGAGAGAGACTTACGGATGGAGGTCGACAGACGAGTCAAGGTCGAGGTCATGGATGGAGGTTGACAGGCGAGTCGATTGGATCAAAGTAGGGATGGCAATGAGGGTTAATGAGGTGGATATTAATTCTCCATCCCCTTTCCCCCATAATTATTTTTCCTCATTCCCCATGGGTACTATCCTCCCCATCTCCTAATGGGTTTGGATATTCCCAAACCCAACTTGACCCCTTTTTTTATTTTTATTTTTATTTTATTTTAAGATTCACAACTAAAGCTAAATGTACATTCAAATTTTTTTTTTCTTTTTTTTTTGTAAGATTCACAACCAAAACTAAATATACATTCAATCTTTCTTTCTTTCTTTTTTTTCTTTTTTTTTTTTTTAAAGATTCACAACCAAAGTTAAATAACTCACCTTCAAATTATTGAAGATCAATTAATAGAGAGGACAAGGAGATACATAAAATTTAAAAAAATTTAAAAAGAAGGAATTTTTTTGTAGGAATAGAATTTTTCTAAATAAATTTAAAAAATTCTAGATATACATAAAATAATGTGACAATTTTAATTAATGTGTATTTGATTTTGTTGTTGAGCCAAATAAAATAAAATAAGATTGAAGGTAGATTTTGCTTTGGCTGTAAATCTTTAAAAAAAAAAAAACAAAATTTAAAAAAGAAAAGAAAAGAAAAAATATTGAATATATATTTAGTTTTGGTTGTGAATTTAAAAAAAAAAAAAAATTGGTTGTGAACCTTAAAAAAAAAAAAAAGAGAGAAGAAAAAAGATTGAATGTATATTTAGTTTTGGTTGTGAATCTTTTAAAAAAAATAATTAAAAAAAAAAAAAAGAACATGTGGGGAAATTAGTGGGTATCCATCTCCGACCCATCCCCTGTGGAGATTTAAAGAATATCACTTACTCTACCCGACGGATAAGAAAAAAAGGGCAAACCCATGTATTTGGATTGGATCTCCATGGATACCCATAGAGTAGATTATCCATTGCCATCCCTAGATCAAAGATCGGGTTTGTCTCTTGACCTTTGCTCTTCTCCTTTACTCTTCTCTATTGCTTTTTGTGTCCAGATTTGGACACGGGTGTCCAGATTTGGTGGACACGCGTATCCCCGCTGTGTCTCCGCCGTGTCCCTACAAAAAAAAATAATTAAATTAAGGGGACGCGCCAGATGGTGTGTCCCGTATGTGTCCCCGGCGTGTTCCCGTGTCAGACACCGCCACGGCATGAAATCTGACGTGTCCACGCTTCATAGATTGTATGTACCCATTTTATAAATACCAAGGGGTGGTTGTGCACAATGAAGATGATGTATTCACTACAAAAGTATTTCACTGCCTGTAACCTTTTTTTCCTCCCTTGACCGTTCCATTCTTTTCAAATTTTCAAATTTATCTTTCTGTCCCACCACAGCTTTCCTATTTTTTTATCTATATCCTCCTCCTATAACTTCCCATAGAACGTGACAATTTTGAACAATTTAAAATTGAGAATAGCTCACAGCTTCAAATTTAATTCATACCAAATAAAAGGTCCAGCCTTTATACAGTGTTATAGATTATTACAAGTTCAATCTTCATTTTTTCATCTCAATTACTACTGGAGCAGAGTTATTAAAGGCAATAGGCGCAATGAAGCACCAAAGTTTCCCTGGGCCAAGGCGCAAGGAGCAAGACGAGGCACAAGCTTTATCGAAGCAATGCTCATGTTGACAATAAAAAATAGATAATTTAATATAAGCAAATAACAAGTAAAATGAAATATTTAAATATTTTAAAACATGAATACCAAACACCAATATTTTATCACATACACAAACATCTAATGCATAAATATTTACAAAAAAAAATAAAAAATCAAAGTGTCAAACAAGAAGTGTAGAGACAGAAAAGTAGAAGAAGATTTGAGGAGATGAAGAAAAATAACTACGACTATAAGTTTGGTTGAAGAAAAAGCTCTATCCAACCGTCTTTGAATAATTAGGCCTCAAAAAGTGTTGGGCTACAATTTATGTTTAGAGGTTTAATCTCTTGTAGCCACATGTAAACAAAATAATAATGAGATTAAGTGAAATCAAGGGTTGTAGTTGTAATAAACAAATATTTTCAAAGAACTGCACAAGTCATGCGTCTTGAGTCTAAGCCTAAAGCACACACTTTATGCGCCTATACGGAGCCTGTTTTACATCATATGGATGTTCCAAAGCACAGTGGCTATGCCTAGATGAGCCTTGGGCTTAGGCGCACGTCTAGATGCCACCTTCCCCAACAAACTGTTTAACCTTTTACTTATGAGTTTTTAATATTTATTGAACTTTATTCTTAATCTTGGTATAAAAAAATAAAAATAAATTGATAAAACTTTAACTCACATTTGATTACTAGTTTATAATTTTGTAAATTTTATTTGGTTTGTGTTTTAAGATTTATGTGGCTGACATTAATTTAATGATTCGTAATTTGCTTTACTTCCAAATTATTTACTTACATGGTTTAATTACTGATCTTATAGAATAATTTTTTATATAATTATGGCTTGTATAAATATTTATACAGGTTTCAAATAAACATTTCCAAGCATTTGTAACACAAGGTTATTCAAAATATTTCCATTTACATACTATTGAAAACAACGTATCAAGATAAGTTTTGACCCTTGGTAGCCCACAGCCAGATTGATGCTTTTTATCAATCCTTGTGGGAGCTTACACCCCCTATGTGATGGCTTTAACACACCCTCCGCTCTTATAAGGAGAAATACCCATAATACTAAACTATAGTCCCGCTTCTACGAGACGAACTCAATAGAGAAGAGGAGAGGGGCACATATCAAGCCTAAGTTTTGACCCTTGGTAGCCCCCCAACTAAAAAG